CCAATAACACAGAGAGTATCCTCATTAAGAATACCTGAAGGTACAAGGTGAAGTGCAAACTTCTTCCCCTCTGCATTGTATATAGTGTGTCCAGCATTAGCTCCGCCCTGGTATTCAAAATTGCTATATTTCAGAATAGAAGTTTGCAAACAAACAATCAAAACAGCCAAGTAAGAACCATTAGTTCAACCAGATGATCATAATACAGTCCATTCATTAAAGCTGCAATAAAAAATTGTTCATGGAAACAGGAGAGAATAATGGAAGACAATTGCATATGTGATGAAATGAGAATTTGACTAAGAACACAAGACTAAGTTGTCATTGTACTAAAATATTTCCCCCAATTGTCAATAATACTCCAGTGCTGATCAGGCGGGTCAAAGTGTAGCACTTTGTTTGAAATATGAAGTTTGAAAATTGTATTAATATAGGCACCAACGAGATGCCACCCATTTACAACATTTACAAGTCTATTAATATATCAACAAGTTCCACTAAATCTTCCATAGAAACAAGAGGACGAACCCCGTATCAACATGTCAAAGTGCAGCCTTGAGTTTCAGTATCTTCACACTTCCAGTATTTCTCATGCTCGGTGCTAAGAAATCCAAGATTTCTCAACACAAATCTCATTATTTAATATCACACATCAAGAAATAATTAACAACATACCTTAGAAACCAGAAGCAATTAAAAAGAAGGCTATTGAAATTTGAACTCAATAAAAAAAAAAACAAAAAAAAATCAATTTGATTGAAAATAGCACAACTTAAAGATTAAGACGATAATCCAACTTCAACTCCTTGTACGGAAAACACCCTACTTAATTGCACAGTACCAATTCAAGCACTCGAATTTAAACCTATCAACTCATGCAAAACATAAGCCAAAACAGATAATGTTCTTCGGAGATATAGAGAGAAGAATCTGCTAATGCATGTATAAGAAAGATGAGGCGGACCTGACAACGAGCAACGATATCAAAATGGCGAGCTAAAATGTCAACGAGTTTGCCTTTCCCTTCATCACCCCACTGGCAACCCAGCACGCCCGATACTTGACTCAGCGACCCAATTCGATCCAGCGACTCGGCTGTGGTAGACTGGGCCAAGCTCAGCGATGAAGAAGCAACTGGCTTCAGGGAGCAGACAACGAAGTTTCGGCGCTGTGGAGGTAAAGTGGGTTTGGCCTGATACGCCCATTTGGCGATAGGATTAGAATCAAGCGAGAAAGAAGAGAGATTCATGGTGTGAGTAAAGAACAAGGGTCAATCGTAGAGAGAAGAAAGAGAAAACCCAATAATGCGAAGGGAAGCTGGAGAATTTTAGTGGGTAAAGGAATTTACAGGAGGGTTTTTGAGGGGTGAAGGAAAGATTGCTATGGGAGATCTTGTTCAGAGGTATCCATGGATCCGTAAGTACATGTTTGCCCTTCAACTCGGAAGTTTGACTCAACTTTATTAGGTCTTTTGAATTACAGGCGTGCAAGCGGGTTTTATGTTATTTTGCTTTTTCACTGGCAGACTTCTCCACCTTTGTCTTAAATTTATATTGTGTAAATAATGCTTTTCTCCATTAAAATTATTTTTAACGTGATAAATTTTTAAATTTATGATATGTAATCTATATATATATATATATACATACATACATACAAAGGTGATAATTTGGTCTAGAGGAGGTTCATAAAAGATTCAAGCTAACTGAATTTAATTTAAATTTTGCAAAATTAAAAAAAAAAATGATAAGTGTTTGGGTTATAATTAATATTTTGATTATAAATAAAATTTTATATTTATATTTAATCAAATTTTTATTATTCATCCACAAGTAGAATTATAACTCCACTATTGTAAAATTAAAAAATTTAATAAAAGGAATTTAATTATGTATGAGACATATAAATTAAATCTAAAATTATGTATAACAATGAAGTAAAGACAGTGAATACAATCTGCCTTTCTTGTGCTTTTGTTTCATGATCACAATAAGAGCTCCTTGTTTCCCGTAAGAAGAAACAAAAAAAAAAAAAAAAATGTGTGTGGTTTCTCGGCCGGTGTTCGGAATACCAAGATTTCGTCAAAGTGTATAACCTGATTTTGTATGTTTCTCTTCACATCTGAGTATGTGTATGAATGTCTAGTGTCTAAAATGCAATGCTTCTTGTGGCTTTCAGCTCCTCAGGCTCAGCTGGTTCTTCTCAAACATTCTTCTGGTAACCCGTACTCTTTTTTCCGACGATCAAATTGTCTTCTCCACGGGTCATTATGCAATTTGTAGTGCAAAACCTAGTGAAGATAATATCAAGAGATGAGCAGGATTTGGAAGTAAATTATATATAGGTATAATAATCAAGCATGATATCTTTCCATAAAAGGGTATTTGAATACCGGAACCTACCCAGCAAAGTTAAAAAACTTAAAACTTGCAACAACCGGCCCAGAAGGAGAGGAAGAGAGGATTTGATGTAAATATATAGGTTAGCAAAAATAGTTCACTCAAGTACTATCTGACTATGCTTTCAAACTGCTCAAGAATCCATAAGCTTGGACAAGATGACGAAACATATAAGCTCATACTCCATTCAAGAACGAACTTTGCTCAAGAGCAACTGACCCAAGACTGAACAAATTGCCAATCCATAAAGTTTTCAATCTCCAATCTTAGAAAAGTTGTCTGAGTTATTATGAATCTAGTATGATATTTTTCGGGTAATGTTTTAGACCAGTGGATTAAAAACAAATTTCCAGGAAGAGTCACATGGACAAAAGCATAAACAAGCAGATAACATGCATATTTGTTTGTGTAGAGTAGAGTAATATATGATAAGCAGATAAAAATTTGTTCCAGGGAAGAGATATGAAGTTTGACATTTCTAAATGTCCAGGAATAGAGAAACTTTCAGTTGCACATGGTTTCAAGTATACCTGTATAAATGTCGCAAAGACATCATCTTCGCTTAACTCCAATAATTTGGCTGCCCAATCCTCCACACGCCCAAAAGCAGTTTTCTGCCTCTCAGCTTCAAGTAAAATAGAATCACGATACAAGAACCTTTGCCAGATTTTTTGTAAATTTCTCAACTTGAACTCTATCTCTGTCTCGTTAAAACCCTTCAGAATGAAAATATTACACCACCAACCAGTCAACTTTGCAGATTTTTAAGTTCCAAGATTAAAGAAAATGCAAAATACCAAAGAAAATTACCCGGAGAATATTTATTAAATTTGGAATGTCAGCTTCAAGTATTCGAACAGCAAAGCTTTTGTAGTTCAGTACATTCTCGTATGGTAGGAATATCCCATCCTAAACATGAGGAACAAACTAAGATTAAAATAGAAAGTTGGTCATTGACTTGTATGTCATATTTTCCATACGAAATAAACAATTCAGAGAAATTTTAATTAAATTCAAGAAAAAAACATTATATTATACAAAAAACCAAAAAATTGAATTGTTTCATGAACAGAAGATTTAACCACGGTACCTGGACTATCACAGGAATGCACCCTTGCAAAACACTGTCTTCCATACGACCACTCCAACCATCTCCAGGAAAGACCCCACAGAAAATAGAACTGGCTAAATCCATGTGATAATTCTGAGAACGTAGTGGAGTTACAATCACGTCATCTGCATGCTGTCTTCCAAGCTTTCCTTCCTTGTTGGGGCTTGATCCAAATTCTTCTGCCACTTTCTGCCTAATGCCCATGCTATACCTACATAGATTATGACAAACTAATTATTAGACTTCTTCCGAATCTTAAAATAGAAATAAATCCATCTTCAATAAAGTAAAAACCTTTACTGAACATGGAAGCAACAGTTTATGTTCCCATGAAATCTACAAGAGCTTGAATTCATTTACCTAAAACATGTTAAAGTGACCCATTTTGGATACTTTAAAAAGAAAAGGAGAAAGGTGTATAAGAGAAAAAAAAATGTTACTTCATGTTTTATTGGCTGTCCTTATTCACCTTCAATAAGCAAATCAGCATTCATTATTACATTGATCAGTTTTTAACTAAACTTACGAGGCTTCTGGTCTTCCATTGTTGTAGGCTGGCCCAAGGTTTCCATTGAAGTAAAATAATGTCTTCCGCTGTTCTCGGGACCTAAAAGAAATCAATTAGCACTTTAGACTTAATTGACATTAATTTAAACATACATGTTTTTCCACCAACAAATACATGCAGATATTTTAGGCAATCTGAAATGCAATTAAACGTTCGCACCTAGCCCAAAGTTTGGCGCTTAGGACATTCGCATCAGGGAGCTTCCAAGCAGGAAGTACAAGATCTTTAGCAGGGTCAAAACATGGATGATTGCCTCTCCTATCAGAAGAAATATCGTCCCAGCTGTCAGCCCAATAAGCTGTTGTTGAATGGTTATGCTTTGAATTTGTATTACCCCAGTGTACTAACATCATACTACTCCATATCTCCTTAGGAGCAGAGCAAGCACCTTCATCCCAAGAAAAGGACTGCCTTCAGATATGAGGACCATGTCATTAGCATACACGAAATACTATGTTAACCACGGAGTAAGAACACAAGTTAGTAACTTCTTTTTCTCCCACATTATGTTTTAATTCTTAAT